CTGGAGCATCCTGGCAGAGCCGACCCCGGTGTCCCGCAGAGCCTGAATTACACAATTTCTCTGGGAACGGGGAAATCACAAGGGTAAGGGGCGGTGGGGAAAAGCGGGGGTTCAGCACAGGGGCTACCTCCCCACCTAGGATGAGGCAAGTACGAGACCCCCATGGGGCCAGCAAGGACCCAGACACCAGAGGCCTTACTGGTTTAGTGCCTTCATACACTTGCACAGACTGGGAACTGCCCTAGAGGCACACCAGGGCAGGTGTGGCCCACGGAGCCCCGGCCAGCACTTGGGCTTCAATGAAGTGAGGTGACTTTGTGGTGTGGTTCTCTTCAGAATTGGTTTGGGGAGTTCGGGGTTTGTTTTCTTTCCTTTATTCCCTGTGTGTTTCGGTACCAGGGTTGCCAGGTGAGTTTATTTATTTATTACGTGAAAAAGAAGGGGGGGCAGATCAAGGAACTAAGCCCAAAAATCAGAGCAGCACAATGTACCGCAAAGAAACAGAGAGACACCTGGAGCCGAGGTGGCGGAGGTCAGATTTCGGCCAGGGACCACCACGTGCCCCACCGCACGACCCTGGGTGAGCCCCCGGGGACTGACGGGCTGCAACCCCCCTCCAGACCCCCAGCAGAGCACGGCTGTGCCAGCCCCACGCGGGAGCGACTGCGAACCTCGGCGCCTGCTGGAAGACAGAAGACTTATTTAATTAAAAACCTAAGTACAACGGCGCAGATGCCGGAGCATCTCCTGTCTCCTTGGCACTCCTGTGTCCCCCACCCAGGAGGAGCCCCAGGAATACTTGCCGTGGTGACCAATACCTGGGATTCTGTAGAGGCATGGGGAGTTTCGGGGTTCACCCAGCAACAGCCTGGTGCTGAGCTATCCCCTCTAATTAACATTTAATTAATTAAAAGGCCTATTTTTAGCCTGCTTTGCAGCTCATCCTTCCACTCCCCGTGTATTTTGGGTTACGGCAGCCACCCAAGGGAGAAACCAGGCATTTCGGTGGAGGGTGGCAGTTGTCTGTGCCTAAGATGAGCTGGGGAGCTGGGGGAGCCCCGCGGGGTCCCCGCTGCCCCCCAGCTGCTGCCCACAGCCACC